ATATATATATATATTCAAATGGTATGTAATTGTTAAGTCATGATTTTGAAAAATATTTAGTGACATCAAAAATGTATGGTAAATGTAATGTAAAAATCAGGTTAAAAATAACCTAATTAGAATAGTTGTTGTTGTTATGTGCTGTGGAGTCGATTCCGACTCATAGCGACCCTGTACAGGGTTTCCGAGGCTATAAATCTTTACGGGAGCAGAAAGCCTCATCTTTCTCTCACGGTACAGCTGGTAGTTTCGAAGTGCTGACCTTGCGGTTCACAGCCCGATTCGTAACCACTACGCTACCAGTATAATATAAAATATTATTACCAACTTTGAAATGAAAAATGCAAATAATGACTATTGATGTGCTGATTTGAACTGCCTTTAAAAATTGACAAATTTAAAAAACTACTACAAAAATTACACTTGTATTTAATATGGAACCAAATCTTTCTTTAGGATGAGAGACTAGGAAGATACACAGTGTTATTTCAATTTTGACTTAAAAAATTGTACACACAGTATTAGTAATGATTATTAGGATGGTGAGATTCTAGGTGAGTTTCATTTTATTTTTAAAGCTCTTTTATATTTTTTATAATATTTTACATTGAATTTATATTTGTTTCATAATTGAAAAGAAAGAGAAATATATGGCTTCTAGAACTAGATGGTACCTTCATATTACTATGAGTCGCTCTGAAAGGGCTCATATAAGAAAGCCCTAAATAAAATGGGTGGCTCTGTAGGATCAGCCCTGGACTGCTAACCTTCAAGCCACTCCTTGGAAACCCTATACTGGGTCACTATGTGTCAGAACTAATAGGGCGGGAGAAAAATGTGGAACAAAGCTTAAAACCATAGAAACAGACCAGGTTTACAAGTAAGATAGAGAAAGGTAGAACACACCTGAGACTATGGCTCTTAGTCACTCTTCAGATTTGGAAATGAACTCACCCCCATGGTCCAATTTTCAGCCAAATAATAGGTTTATAGGTGTGGTGCTGTGGGTTAATGAACTGGCCTGCAAAGCAGGTTTGCACCACAAGATCAGCAGTTCAAGCTTACCAGCCGGTCCTCAGAAACCCCATACAGGGTCACTATGGATCAGAACTGACTCAATGGCACTTAACAACAACAACAAAGGGAATAGTAACACTAGTGAGATACGTACACCTTACAATAATCAACTATTTGGGATCAAAAGGATAGCATTTACCCAAGGACAAAGTTCAGAAGGGTTAGGAAAGGAGAAGAAATAGAAAAAGAAACAGGGAGAAAGTAGGATAAATGATGTTACATTGTGGGGCTCCATTAGTGAGATGAAACAAAATGTGTATGAATTGTTTAATGGAAAACCGATCTCTGTAAACCTTCTCCTAATTTACATAAAAAGTTAGAAAGAAAGGAATATATGACTTTTAACCAAGATGTTTCTTCATTTCCAAAGGTTCTAAGTCACAGCCAACCCTGAACAAGCTCCAGAATATCTAGCTAGTTACGCAGGTTGCTTTTAATAGGCCTTTGTGTAGTAATTATGCCAATTTGATTACATTGCTGTTTCATAATTTAAAATTCCCTGTGGTTAATATGTTGATGTAAAAAAGTATGGTTTGCCCAGTCATACCTTAATACATAATGCAGGTAACGTTGAAAGCATTGAGATAAGCAAATAATTATAGGTATTTCTGTCTTTGGGAGTAGAAAAGTAAGTTCTTTAATACTACGATAAGAAGTATTCCTTTAGTCCTAACTTTATACATTAGACTAGTATGCTGTCTTTTGACATCATAGCTGAAAAAAATCATATTTTGTGTTACTCTTGCTATGGCTTTTCAGTTTGACTAAGGTCCTACCTGTTGCTGTCAAGTTAATTCTAATTCATGGTGACTTTATGTATCACAGTAGAACTGTGCTCCATAGAGTTTTCCATGGCTTATTTAAAAAACAACAACAACAACAAAAAACCATCATTCTCTCAAGGTTCTTTTCAGTTAGCAGCCAAGCATGTTGAACAATTACACTTAACACACTGCTGTGGAGTTAATTAAGACTGTGTAGAACTGTTCCCTACAGTTTCTGAGGCCGTAAATCTTTATGAAGCAAACTGCTTCATCTCCTGTTGAGCTGGTTTGTTTGAACTGCTGCCTTTTAGATTAATAGCCAAATACTTAACCCACAGCACAATCAGATCACCTTCATTGGCACCTAGTCAGTCCTAATTCTCTTCCTGTTCCCACCTAACATCTTCAAAGCTGGATTCTAAGTTCTAAAAAGTTAGCTTGCTCTGACATATCAAAGAAGTCATATATAGTGTTCCAGTTGGGAAACCGTCATCATGTATGTGATCCTTTTTCTAGAAAGGATTGTATTATCTCATTTCAGCTACTTTTAAAATAAAACAAAAGACTCTTAAGGGGAAAAAAATGCCAAAGCTGAATAGCTATATATTTTCAAATTATAAAAATTAAAACAATTTGTTTTTAAGAATTTATTAGTGAGTAGGTGAGGGCATAGTCTACTATCAAAGTTTACTAGATATCAAACATTACAAAAACTATGCATAAGTTAACTGAGTCTTAGTTAACTGAGTCTTAGGTCTTCAAAGGTCATTGCAGTAGGTCTAATATTAGACCTAGTAACTAAGTGTAAAATTCCTGAAAATCCTGGCATAACAACAGTTTTCCTTTTATCTTTTGTAGGTGCCAAATCAATCATTCAAGAGTTTCCAGAGATCACAATTTTAACTACTGAAGTTCATCCTGTTGCACCTACACATTTTGGACAGAAATACTTTGGAACTGACTAAGTTATTAAAGAAAAAATGAATCATCTTGTGTAATATTGCAATTATATTTTGTGTTTCTACTTGTTTTACTAATTCACTAAGGAATGACAATGAAAATTGTTAGAGATGATTTTCAATTTTGGAAATGTATTACTGTTTACTAGAAAGGAAATATTTGAGGTTTGTTTTATTTGGTTGGCACCAAATTCATTATGAGGCATATACAATGCTTAGAAAAGATGTGTTTATGCAAATTACTAGGTCCTCAATGCATTGACATTTTTCCCTAATCTGTGAGTTGCTCAGTTTGGAAGTTGTTTACAGCCAGAAATAAAACCCACATAGAGTCAGCTCTTTGGAACACTATAATTGCATTTTGCTTTTAGCTCTAGAATGGGTACATGTATGTACCCTTTGCTTGACATTACTCTTTGCTTGACATTACTGTACATGTTAATAACTTGGAGAGGAGATAAAAGAATGACTTGTGGAATTTTACATTACCATTATTATCACAATGCAATAGGAAGGCCCAGGATATATGGTTAACTCTTCAATCAGGCCATTATGGTCTTCATGTCTCATCTCCCAAACAGTGCCTTGCCATGCTATAAAGCAGTAAAGAAGATGGTGGGTCATTTTCAGCAACTGAAACTGTAATACAGACTGAATCAGGGATACCAGGGTGCTGATAAGGGAGAGCTAAGTACTGTTAAATCTTCTAGAAAAGAATTGGTGTTTGATTATTTGAGGTTTGGAGAAAAGGATGGTTTCTTTCTGGGTTTTATAGTCAATGAGTAAATTAAAATGCTGTATTTTAAATTTTGACATTTTTACTAGAGGCATTTATTTAGAAATTATTTTACATGTTTGTCAACTATATATGTATTAAAATAAGAGCGTATCTCTAATATCTTTGTGTTTGTATTTAGGCTTCTGAAAAGGAAAGAAACCGTTAGAAATCAAGGTTTGTTCTGAAATCTGCTTGTAAAATCCCAATCTTAGTTTACTTTAATATTAAAACATTTAAACAGTGATTACTTCATTAATTATATTCTCATAGCCTCTTTTTTTTATTATTAAATGTTTTTATTTTGGATTGAGTGAAAGTTTACAGGGTACATCATCAGCTTCACATTCAACCATTCATATGGCTTATTTCATTACATTGATTATTATCCCCTCCATATATCATCAGTTAACAGTGTTTC